GCCTGCTCTGCGGGTGGAGGCAGCAGCCCAGGCCCAGTTCCAGGGCGCCGCGCAGGCCTGGATGGGGGGCACCCTCCGTTTGGGCCAGGCCCTGCGGCCCCGCGGCCTCTGGGGCTTCTACGGCTTCCCTGGCTGCTACAACTACGACTTCCTGAACCCCAACTACACAGGCGAGTGCCCCCCGGGCGTCCGTGCCCAGAACGACCAGCTGGGGTGGCTGTGGGCCCAGAGCCGTGCCCTCTACCCCAGCATCTACCTTCCCGCGGCACTGGCGGGCACAGGGAAGGCACAGATGTATGTGCGGCACCGAGTGGGTGAGGCGTTCCGTGTGGCTGAGGGTGCTGGGGACCCCCGTCTGCCGGTGCTGCCCTACGTCCAGATCTTCTATGACATGACCGACCGCTTCCTGTCCCTGGTGAGTCTCCTGTGACCCTGCCGGCCTTTCAGCCCCTCCTCAGGCGTTAGGTCCAGCAACCGATGCCACACAGCCTGGTGGCACTTTCCTCCCTTCATTCTCACATCCTTTGGACACCTGTGTGCCAAGGTCTGTGCCAGGACACAGTCCCCGCCTGCATGGCACACAGGCCAGAGCGGGACAGGCTGGCCTCCGGCCCCAGCGCCAGGGCTGCCCCAGGCGGGGAATGTGAACTGTTGGGGTGTTCCAGCGCTGCCTGGGAGGGAGGGGGGGAGGATCACAGAGCCACCCTGTCCTTTTCCCCAGGACGAGCTGGAGCACAGCCTGGGGGAGAGCGCGGCCCAGGGAGCAGCGGGAGTGGTGCTCTGGGTGAGCTGGGAGAACACAAAAACCAAGGTGAGCTCAGGCGTGGGGCGGGGGGCCGAGGTCGGCTGGGAGACCCGGGCCCATCCTTTCTACCCCTGCAGTCCTGCTGGCTGGCCAGTGAGGGCCTCGGTGCCCTAGGTGGGCCCGGCATGGCCCGGTGTCGCTGACGCGCCTCCTCCCGCCCAGGAATCATGCCAGGCCATCAAGGAGTACGTGGACACCACGCTGGGGCCCTTCGTCCTGAACGTGACCAGTGCGGCCTGTCTGTGCAGTGAGGCCCTGTGTTCCGGCCATGGCCGCTGTGCCCGGCGCCCCAGCCACCCTGAGGCCCTCCTCTTCCTCAACCCCACCAGTTTCGCCATTGAACTCCCGCCTGGCGGTGGGCCCCTGACCCTACGAGGTGCCCTTTCCCCTAAGGATCGGGAACAGATGGCGGTGGAGTTCAAATGTCACTGCTACCCGGGCTGGAGGGGAGCCTGGTGTGAGCAGCGGGGCATGTGGTGACTGGCCACACCCCAGGTGCACCACCCAGTCCTGTAACAGTGCGCTCTGGGCCTGGCCCAGGCTTTCCCAAGGGCAGACCCAGCTACACAAGTCACGGCCACACTCGGGGGGACAGCCAGGAGCATCTGCCTGCCATGCTCACATACTGCCCGGGAGTCTCCGGACCCCCTCGGGGTCTCAAACATCACCTCCAGAGACGGGGCAGCCCGTCCTACAACTGCAGCGACCACCCAGCCCTGTGCTGAGCATGTGGAGGGGCCTAACTCCTTCAGCCTGAGGCGCCGCTTAGAGGGCGCTGAGCAAGCCCGGAGGGAGCGCACTGCGCCAGGTGGCACCGCCATAACGGGAGCAGCTGGGATTCCCACCAGGCGTCTGCTGTAGGGTGGCGCCCTGGCTGCGCCCGCGGGATGGCCAGCAGCCCGAACCCCGTAAATAAAGCAGACAGACGTGCTTCTCACTCTGAAGAGCTGCTTATTGAGCGCCTGAAACGTGCCGCTCCGGACCCAAAGGGCACGGGAAGGCTCCTCTCCGACTGACGTCTGTCCCAGGGCGGCTACTTCCCAGGGTGGGACCCAACTTCCAGGAGGAAGCGCCACTGGCCCTTTCCACGCCTGACGGAGGCAGGAGGCTGGCGGAAGCCGAGACAGAGCGGCGCGGGGGAGAGGCCAGGGCGAAGCGGAAACGGAGGCAGCAGGGGGAAGGGCCCGCGCCCGGCCCAGGTGGTAGCA